CAACCTTTGTGGACCTTGCCGAACCCCCAATAGCATAGCTCCACTGCTTCCACAATGAATACCGTACGGGAGCTGGTCGTCTTCCCCATCATGAGCTACGCTCTCGACACCCGAAACAGAGTGGGTTCGTCCGTAGCAAACACCACCAGATGAGGGAGTTCAAACTTACCGAACGGCAACCCTGGGCAAAAGCTAAGAAGGCTCAGCTAATTCGCCTCGAATGCCCAGCTTCCCCAAACCGAGAATAAGGAATGGGTCTCACCGTCTCTAATCGAATGCTCTACCGAATTCGACAGCCTCGACCAAGGGTGCTCCGTCTTTTTCTCCCGCTAAAAATCACCTTGCCTCACCAAATTTCTGCAAGAGTAGAAGCCTGCCGAATGCCCAAGGAGGCCTCCCGATATCCTCAACCTCCAAATTCGAGCTCAGCTCCAGTTCACGCGGGCTTTCCTCCTAGACCTGTCACGGCATTCACAAAATTATTTACGAGGTTGCCGAACCAAAAGGGCTGCCTAAATTCCCGGCGCCAGTCCGCCTTGCCTACACTGGGGACTCAACGAAAGCCTTACCGAGATTTGCACCAAACTCCTAGGCTCCGAGTCTGCCCAGCCGCCCTTCCGAACCAACCTTCACAGCTCAAAACCAACAGCTCAGATCTCTCAAATCAGCCCCAGATGTGCCTTACCGATCGGTAACAAGCTCCTCCAAATCACACCAGGCAGCACTCACAGCCACAGGAAAATTTTCACTCCACCCTTGCCGAACGGCAAGGGTCGGGCAAAGGAGAGGGTGGCCTCGAAAAAAATCTCCTTGCGATTCTCACAGAACCTGCCGAACCCAGCTTCGAATTCTTGGGCAGAAAATCAACCCAAGCACAAACTGCCGAACGGCAGGTGTTATGTAGGAAGGACTCCACCCTCCTCCCAAATCCTAAGGCCTTGCCTAGGCCCAAAAGCGGGCCCAGCACCTTGACTTCACAAAGCTCCCTTATCCAAGCTGCCCTTGCCGAACGGCAATGGCCATATCAAAGTCAAGACACTTCTGGAGGCCCACGAGTTGCTCCCCTGCTGAATTATTAAATCTCAAAGGCCCACTTATGGCACTTGACGTTCATGCCGACACAACCCAAAACAAAAGAAAAAACCCAAGATTGTTAGCCATCGGCAATAACGATTGGAAAGCTTGTTCTACAAGACGAGAGCGATGCCTTCGGCACCTCGTCATCATTTGATAAGAGAGATGCCTTTGGCACCCTGTCAATGTTCGACAAAAGAGATGTCTTCGGCACCCTGTCATTATTTGATAAAAGCTATGCCTTCGGCACCCTGTCATAATCCGACGAGAGCGACACCTTCGGCACCCCGTCATCATTTTGACAAGAGAGCTGCCTTCGGCACCCTGTCATCATCCGACGAGAGTGCTGCCTTCGGCACCTGTCATTTGACATAGAGATGCCTTCGGCACCCTGTCATTATTTGATAAAAGCTATGCCTTCGGCACCCTGTCATCATCCGACGAGAGCGACGCCTTCGGCACCCCGTCATCATTTTGACAAGAGAGCTGCCTTCGGCACCCTATCATCATCCGACGAGAGCGCTGCCTTCGGCACCCGTCATTTCACATTGCGATACCTTCGGCACCCTATCATCATTAGACGAGAGCGATGCCTTCGGCATCCCGTCATCATCTGACAAGCGATGCCTTCGGCACCCTGTCATCATTTGACAAGAGAGATGCCTTCGGCACCCAGTCATCATCCGACGAAAGCGATGCCTTCGGCACCCCATCACCACCTTCGGCACCCTATCATCATCTGACGAGAGCGATGCCTTCGGCATCCCGTCATCATCTGACAAGCGATGCCTTCTGCATCCCGTCATCATCTGACAAGCGATGCCTTCGGCATCCCGTCATCATCTGACAAGCGATGCCTTCGGCATCCCGTCATCATCTGACAAGCGATGCCTTCGGCACCCTGTCATTGTTGGACAAAGAGAGTTGCCTTCGGCACCCTGTCATCATTTGACAAGAGAGATGCCTTCGGCACCCTGTCATCATCCGACGAAAGCGATGCCTTCGGCACCCCGTCATCACCTTGGGCACCCTATCATCATCTGACGAGAGCGATGCCTTTGGCATCCCGTCATCATCTGACAAGCGATGCCTTCGGCATCCCGTCATCATCTGACAAGCGATGCCTTCGACACCCTGTCATTGTTGGACAAAGAGAGTTGCCTTCGTACATGACCGGGTTGTCACGGCCAGGCCAACACGAGAAGAGAACCTCAGCGATGTGGCCCCAGATGATGGTCATGTGCATCATCATCTTGCAGCAGCTCCAGCACTGCCGCCGTTGAACAATGTCGCCGGGGGCGGCGTAGATGGGATGTTGTGATGTGAAGCAGCCATTTTGTTAGTTTTTAGTAGAGTTTTGATTGGATAATTGTAATGGCTAGCCTAATATTTTCGACAATTTGTCTATATACATGTTGTATGGATATGGTTGGTGGATGAACAATGGTAGACGATTATGTAATGGATTAAAATGTGGGCATATGGCAGTCGGCGAAACGGACGTAAGGAAGGGTTTATGGACCCACTAAAGGGGGAACACAATGAGAATTTCTCTTGTTTTGGACTTCTGGTATTTCGCATTGAATAGAATGAGAATGTGTGGTCCAGATTACTTAAGATTTGATGCCATAACAAGCCAACTAACACTAAACAGAATACTCCCTCACTTAATGGCCAAGAGAACATGAAAAAAAGGAAATGGAAGCTTTGGATTTAACAATTAAGTTACAGCTGAAATTGTAAGACTTCACACTTTTTTTGAACTAGTTCTTGGCATTCAGAAGGGGAAGCTCATACTCAATTCATACATTGATGAAAACCGATGCTAAGAATGTTAGTGTTTTGAGTGTGTGAATGGAGAGTAACGAAGAAGGGAAGAAAGGAGAAGCAACAAGAATTGTAAGACTGCTCTGCTATACGTGTAGCGGAGGAATACACATTTCTATTCAATCTCTCTCTCTCTTACAACCTCACACACTTGGAGTGAGGGAATATAATCATTAGGCACAGTAGCTGGATCCCTTACATCACAAGGTGATCTCAGCCATTCATTTAGACATCCAATGAGATCCTTACACTCGGCTTAAAAAACTTAAAGAAACGAAAACTATGTTAACTAACTCTTAAGTCAGTTTAAAGGCTTATAATTCAACACTCCCCTTTAAGTCTTGAGCTGATTTAACTCCACGCATACTCTTGAGATCATTGAACCGATCTTTAGCCAATTGTTTGGTGAAAATGTCTGCAAGTTGTTCACTTGTAGGACAGTACACCAAATCAATGATGCCTTCTTGTAGTGCATCTTTGATGAGGTGATAAATAATTCTGTCAATATGAGTTGTCTTCTGATGAAACACAAGGTTCTTAGTGATGACAATTGCAGATGTGTTGTCATACTGCAATGGAGTTACTTCTGTCTGAAGTTCCCTAAAGTCTTCTAACACAAATCTAAGCCAAATGGCCTGTACAGTAGCTTCTGATGGGCTAATGTACTCTACCTCTGCAGTAGACAATGCAACACAATTTTGCTTAACTGAAGCCCAAGAGAAAACACCACTGCCAAAGGAGAATGCATATCCAGATGTGCTCTTACTGTCCTCAACTGATCCACCCCAATCACTGTCATAGAAGCCAATCAACATTTCATTTTTTCCTTTCACATACTCTAAACCATAGTCTAGATTCCCCTTGATATATCTTAGCACTCGTTTAGCAGTTCCATAGTGTTTGCTTGTAGGACAGTGCATGAATCTAGCAAGCAGGCTTGAGGCATACATGATATCTGGTCTAGTAGCAATTAGGTACAAGAGACTGCCTACAATGCTTCTATATTGTTCCTCACTTGTTGCTCCACTTCCATCATCTTTAGTTAGCTTCTCAGTTGCTACAGGAGGTATGGTCACAATCTTGCACTCATTCAAACCAAACTTGTTCAATAGAGAGCTTGCACATTTCTTTTTGTGGATGAATATGCTTGAGCTTGTTTGAACCACTCCTATAACAAGAAAATGATGTAGATGACCCAAGTCTGTCATCTCATATTTCATCATCATGTCTTCCTTGAATTCATGCAACAATTCCTTGCTACTTCCTGTATACACAATGTCACCAACATAAATAGAAACAATTAGAATGTCTTTGTCTCCCCTTGTCTTGGTATACAAGATAGCTTCACTTAGGCTCTTCTCAAAACCACACTGAGTGAAGTAGGTGTCTATCTCTCCATACCAGGCTCTAGGTGCCTGTTGTAGTCCATAGAGAGCCTTGTGCAGCCTATACACCTTAGCTTCTTTGCCTTTGAACACAAAACCCTTTGATTGGTCTATATAGACTTCTTCTTGTAGTACACCATTTAGGAAAACTGATTTTACATCAAGCTGATATAGCTTCCATTCTTACTGAGCAGCTAGAGCAATGAGAGTTCTAATGGTGTCCAATCTAGCCACATGAGCATAGGTTTCATTGTATTCCAATCCAGGTTTCTGAGCATACCCTTTGACAACTAACCTTGCTTTATTCTTTTGGACTTAACCATCTAAGTTTACCTTTGTTTTGTAAATCCAATTGACTCCAATAACTAGTTTCTCAGTTGGTCTGTCCATTAGTTCCCACGTACCATTTTTTAAAATCATTTGTAGTTCATCTTTCATAGCTTTTAGCCATGATTTGTCTTGAGCTG